AAAGACACTTACTGAATTTTTATATGTAATGTCCAAGAGAGGCATATTGTAGAGGCAGAAAGTAGATTAGTGGTTGCCTAGGTCAGGGGAGTTAGGGAAAATGGGGAGTGACTGCTAATGAGTATAGGATTGGGGGGTGAGGGGGGAGCAGGGGTTGATGAAAATGTCTAAAAATTGCTTATGGTGATGGTTGTACAACTCTGAATATACTAAAAATTATTGAATTGTACATGTTAAACGAGTGAATTTTATGGTATGTTAATTATATCTCAATAAAGCTATATTTAAAAAGATTAAATAGGAGCTGGCCAGTTAGCTTAGTTGGTTAGAGTGTGGTGCTGATAACACCAAGTTCCAGGGTCGATCCCTGTACTGGCCAGCTGCCAAAAAAAATGACTAAATAAATAAGGCAACTTAAAACTCAGGTCTTTTGGCATCTAAGTTTAGACTAAATGAATCTAGAGTCTATTTAGATTGTTTATTTATATATCTACCATGAATAATATTACCAAATAATATTACAATTCTTGTTTCTAAACCCTATTTTCTTATGATTAAGTTGTATTAACTGTTGAAGATGGCCACCTCTGTGGATTTTTAATATCTATTATATTTTCCAGTTGTCACATTTAACTCTATTTCTAGTCATATTTTCTGACCAATTTTCCAACTTATATCTAGTCCTATTTTGTAAATAATTTACAAGAGCATTTATCATGTCATCTACTCTATAAAATAATGTAAGTAAATACTAATTGATTTATCAAATCAAAGTATGCTCTTGATGAAACTCACTGAGAAGAAATTTAGTGTTAATGGAATACATGTTGCTCTAGAAAACCTGAGTATTATCTTGTGCTCTCCCGCCACCTGGTCTGTGTACACATGCTTGTACATTAATTGTCCAAACAAAGAATTTGAGCTACAAATCATTTAATCCCCTTTTAGCTCAGACTTTTTATATGAGAATATTTTAAATTCAGTTTTTTAACCAACTGCAGCTTATTTTGTTAGAATAATCATATGTAAAATAGGCTTGCAGTCCCAAACCAATTAATTGATTGTTGACCCTGGTATAGTTGATATCATGGTCATGTTCTTCAGCAATGTTTTCTCTTTGTCATGGTAGACGGGTGAGGAGAGGTTTAAAGTTGCCATCCTGTATGTTCAGAAGGATTTCTCCACCAATCCCTTTTTCTGCCCCTGTGTGTGGGCATACACAAGACCATTTGTAGTACTTCATGTGAGGAAATGAAAATCTCACCACAGAAACTGGGGATTCCCTTTTAGATTGCCTACCATTCAGAACACAGTGCAGAAGTCTTAATGAAATGAGAGGATTCCAAATCTCTCAGCTTCTGTCAGCATTTGTTTTTATTTTTAACATGTTAATGTTAGGGCCGGCCTGTGGCTCACTTGGGAGAGTGTGGTGCTGATAACACCAAGGCCACGGGTCCAGATCCCATATAGGGATGGCCGGTTTGCTCACTGGGTGAGCGTGGTGCTGACAACACCAAGTCAAGGGTTAAGATCCCCTTACCGGTCATCTTTAAAAAAAAAACAAAAACATGTTAATGTTAGCTTTCAGATCCCTTGATTTTCTGAGTATTAGTACCTTTAAAAGAATTTTGAAGTGTGTAAGGGCAGAGTTAAACTGATAGAGCCATAAATCTGAATGATAATCTTTGGAGCCTAAGTACTTACAAATCTAAAATTATACATTATTTTGTAATTTTTTCTATTTCTGCCCTTCAGGTGCATGGTTACATATTTTCAGCTTCATTTTACTGCTGTGTTGTAATTTTCCCAGAGGAAATTAAGGCATCTCACCTTGTCTCTTTAAGAACTTGTTCCTCAACCACAATTTTTTTTTTTTTGAAGTTCTTACAACAAGCAAATGGAGGGGACACACTTGGGTGGGAGGGGGGAGAGGGAGGAGGGAGGGAGGTTTCAGTGATGGGACATAATAATCAACCACATTGTATATTGACAAAATAAAAATTCAAAAAAAAAACAAACAAACAAATAAAAAGCTTTACTTCCAAAAGCAGGATAAGGAGGAAGCAGGGGTTCTGGATGGACATATGAAGACTACATAAATACAGAATTTTACTTCGTGCAGCAAACAAGTCTACTGTTTCTTTCTGTTGGAAAGGTTGCTTGATGCGCTTGGTTTTGAATTACATAAGAAGATTTATACACAGGGAAAGCTTTGAGTCTAATGAGAAATGTCAAATGGAAAATGTAACTAAAAGAGTATTGCTCAAAAAATCCCTGCTGATGAAAGCTGAAATCAATATTGATGAATTTGGCTTGCCCAATTTTTGCTTGGTGGAATGAACTGGGTTGGTAGAAGTATTTTAGCTGCATTTCCTCGGCATGCCAATAGAGTTTTTCCAGCATTCTTCCAGCCATACATGTGGCATACATTTATTATTTACAATCTATACACAGGAAGTGCTTGACTGATGAGATAACCCCTTTTTTAGAAAGATCTTTCCAAATGGGCCTTTATACTATATGTGTTAAATGAAGTACAATAAAGTCAGTAAGATATAAAAAAAAAAAAAAAAGAACTTGTTCCCCTCACCTTCAGCTAAGACATTCAGATGAGTGTGCCGATCTAAAATTATCAAGTACTTGGGTTAAGTTTTTCTGTCAAAATTAATATGGTTCTGCATTATAAGGTGTAAGACACTTGGAGCAAAAATCAAAGTAACCAATATTTAGAGGATCCTAGTTGATGACAAATTAAGATGAAATTTTGTCTTCATAATTTTCATTTCCTAACAGATGTAACATATGAGAAATTTATTTCAAAGGCCTTAACTGGGTGTGGGACCCTTATTTTCAACTGTTTGAAAAGTTTAAAAATCAGTTACGGGCCGAGCCCGTGGCGCACTCGGGAGAGTGCGGCGCTGGGAGCACAGCAGTGCTCCCGCGGCGGGTTCGGATCCTATATAGGGATGGCCGGTGCAATGCGCTCACTGGCTGAGCGTGGTGCGGCCGGTCACAAAAAGGACAAAAATAAATAAATGAATAAATAAAATAAATAAATAAAAATCAGTTACATAACCCCTGTATCATTAAGAAAAGGATTCGAGGTGGCTGCTTCTGAAAGTATTAAGTGTAGCTGAAGAGGTACATTTCTATATTTCAAGTTTTTTCAAAGACAGTTCATGTTGTTCTTTCATCTTGTACTGACTCTTAAGTATATAAATTATCAAACATTTAGCAGTGAGGACCCATTATTACAGTTGTACACATTCTCTTATATTTGAATTTCTAAGTTGATTATTGGTAAAAACAGTAATTTGTAATAAAACAGCAATCTTGGTAAGAGTGATGGAAAATATAAAAGTTACAATGACAGAAAGGGCTTTTAGTTTTATAAAGAAAATATACGTTTTTAAAAAGCTTTATTGAGGTATAATTGACATGCCACTTAAAGTATACAATTTAATAGGTTTGGATATTTTCTTGAAACTGTTAACATGTCTGTTACCCTAAAAAAGTTTCTTTTATTCCCTTTGTCATCCCTTCCTCCTTCCATTCCCAAACAAACACTGATCTATTTTCTGTCACTGTAAATTAGTTTGGATTTTCTAGAATTTAATATAAATGGACTCATATACATGTTCTTTTCTGCCTGGCTTCTTCCTCAGTATGAGATTCATCATTATTGTCTCATGCGTCAGTAGGTGATTTCTTCTCGTTGCTGAATAGTATTCCATTCTATAGATATACCATAATTTGTTTATCCAGTCATTCATTGGTGCACATTTGGGTTGTTTATAGTTTAGGCTATTGCAAATAAAGATGCTAAAAACATTCATGTACAAACATTCATACACATATATTGCTGAATCATATTGTAGGTGTGTGTTTAACTTTTAAACTGCCCAACTGTTTTTCACCAGCCGTCTATGACAGTTCCAGTTTCTCCATATCCGTATCAACAGTATAGTCAGTGTTTTTAAGTTTCAGTCATTCTAATAGGTATGTAGTAGTATCACTGTAGTTTTAATTTGCATTTCCCTAGTAACTAATGATTTGAGCATTTTTTCATGTGCTTATTTGCCATCTGTATCTTTTCTTTGGTGAAGTCTGTTTACATCTTTTGCCCAGTTTTTAGAATTGTATTGTTTATTTTCTTATTGTTTAGTTTTGAGGTTACTTTATATATTCTGGATACAAATCCTTTATCAGATATATGCCATGCAAAGATTTTCTCCCTGTATGAAGCTTATCTCTTTATTCTCTTAACAACATCTTCAAGAGCAGAAATTTTTAATTTGGAAATGTACAGTTTATCAGTTTGTTCCTTTATGGATTGTACCTTTACTGTCATAAGAACATATGACTTTATAAAGTCGGAAGTGTCATTTCATTATAAGGATTCTAGTGGAATGATTTCTTATTAGCTATAGAATAAGATATTGTGTTCTCTTGTTTGCATTTTGGGAGTTTGAAGATTTGTCATTTAATTCAAAGGCTAACCAAGAGTTAAAATTATAAAATGTAAACATAAAGGCCATTTAATATGTGCATTGGTCCTGGACTTAAATTTGGCTATTTATTTTTAAATTTTATATTATCTTATTAAATTCTACAGTTTATCTTCAGATATTTTTAGAGTTCTAGTTTTTCTCAAAATGTAAGGTAGTTCTTGCCATAATCAGGTCCCACTCTAAGCTGTCAAAATGTTGTTATTAAAGTATTACTCCTCCTACCACTTGGTTCACTGGGTGCAGCACAGCAAATAGATTTCAGGAAATAGAATCTAGAAAAAAGAACTTGAAAGTATGTATGCAGCCACAAAGCGTTTTTGCTCATAGAGTATGGATGGTAGATTTTTAAATGTTGACCCAAAAGAGGAAAATCAAAATCCAAAAAACTGTCCTGAGCTGCTAGTTTTCTAAACATTTTCTAATCTTAAGTTGTGATGAAGAATTATTTCTTCATTAGAAAGATTTTCAGTAAATAACTTTCTTTTTCAGTATTTCCACATGTAACACCAAAAGGAATTAATGGTATAGACTTCAAAGGGGAAGCAATAACTTTTAAAGCAACTACTGCTGGAATCCTTGCTACACTTTCTCATTGTATTGAACTAATGGTAAAACGTGAAGACAGCTGGCAAAAGAGACTGGATAAGGTAAGACTAGTTTTTCTTCCTTTAAAAAATAATTATATTTTACTTAAGTTTTATATATTGACTGAACATTTAAACCAAACTAACTTCTTAGGGAAGTATCTATTGGGTTTGATAGAAGTAGAAGGTGGTACTGCTGCTCTGAAACTTTGTGGGCATCTTAAACTCATTTTCCTAACAAGATTGATTAGTTGTTTATTAGTTACTATATAATAGTAACTAAATGCTTTCTTGATAGGATTTAATATAAAGATTTTTGTAATTGTGTTAGTAATGCTTTAAGAGTAATTAGCCATTTAACATTACCCACCTTTACTGTGTAATATAAGAAACTACATTTAAGTTAAATGAATGAACTTAAACACCACTTTAATAAGTTAAACATTTACTTATTATACTCATAGCTTTTTCCATGGTCATCATGATATCATTTAACATACATTATGTTGTTTGAACATTTGCGCTATGTTCACATTTTCCCACCTTTGTTTGAACTGCAACACTGATAATAATATTATAGTATGAATCTTTATTTTCTAGTGTGAAAAATGGCTCGATGAATTTGTTTAGTAGGAGAACTTCTGTTAATAACTCAACTTTACTGAAATAGTAAAACGTTAGTACTAAAACATGCCTTAGAGAATCTAGTTCTAGTCCAGTGCCATCATTTCATATGGAAGAAGGAGCTGAGGCCCAGCGACTTGTCCAAAGGTGTTAAGTAGCAGAATTAGAGGAATTTTTCTCTATTCTGATACTTCAGCCCTAGATACCAGGCTAGACATCAGTCAGAATCTTATTTTTCATCAGTAAGTTATGTGGCTTACAGTGTTTTGAAGGTCTTTCAATTTGAGCAAGCAATGTCATCACTGGTGTCGTGGCAGAATGGCCACAGGATTTGAATAGTACTATGGGTTTAGGAAGTTCCCCATGTTATAGAAGAAAGGAAAGCTGTTCAGATTTCTCAGGTGCAGATGAGAGTAAGCCATAATGACTAGCAATATGTCTTTTAAAATAGGCAATAAGAACATCCTTTTAAAGTACAGACATTTCATTTTCATCTGGAGCTAAACTATTACATCTTCAAAGATTTCAACTGTATACTCAATGTGTATTAAATTGAATTATTAGAAGAATCCCCATGCACATAAAAAATAATGTATTGAAAAACAGGATAATTCCTTAAATCCATTAGACTGTTGGTTCCAGAGTATCATTCAACTAGCTTATTTACAACTTTTTGGCAACTTTCTCCTCTCTTCAGTCATATACACTAACCATACTGCCTCAAAAATATTCATTAAAAAAAAAAAAAGGTTAGAGCATGGCATTGATAACACCAAGGCCAGGGTTCAATCCTTGTGCTGGCCAGCTGCAAAAAAAAAAAAAAAAACTAAATAAATTATAAAAACTTTTTGCATTATGTAACATGGCTTCCCATCTTTTCAGCATTCATGGTTAGAGCATGGCATTGATAACACCAAGGCCAGGGTTCAATCCTTGTGCTGGCCAGCTGCAAAAAAAAAAAAAAAAACCTAAATAAATTATAAAAACTTTTTGCATTATGTAACATGGCTTCCCATCTTTTCAGCATTCAGGCTTCTTATTTGCTGTTGTGTTAGTCCATTTCTATTGCTTATGACATAAAAAACCAGAATTGGGTGATTTGTAAAAAAACGAAACTTATTGCTTACAGTTTCTGAGGCTGGAAGTCCAAAGTCCAGGGAACATATCTGGTGAAGCCCTTCTTTGAGAATGCGGAGCAGAGAGAGATAGCTCCTCATGTTCTGTACTTTTAAAGCACTCAGAACCATGCCCGTGACCACCATTAAACTATTGATCTAATCACCTCTTCATTGCCCCACCTTTCAATTACCATAATAGGATTTCCCACCCTCAACAGTTACAGTAGGGATTAAATTTTGGGGGGACATTCAACACAAGGCATTCCACCCCTGGCCCCTCAAACCGATGTCCTTTTCACATACAAATACATTCATTTCACCCCTAGAGTCTCAACTTGTTTCAACTCAGAAGTCCAGAGTTCAAAGTCCCATCTGTGAAATCAAAACAAGTTGTCTACTACCAATATACAATAGTGCGACAAGCTGAGGGTACACATTCCCATTCAAAAAGGGAGAAATAGGCCAAAAGAAAGGGGTAACAGGTCCCATACAATTTCAAAACCCAGCAGAGTAGGCATTAAATCTGAAAGCTGGTGAATCATGTACCTTGACTCTATGTTCAAATTGCTCTTTACACTGGTGTGGGGGTTGGGTTCCCAAGTCCTCAGGCAACTCCACTCCTATGGCTTTACTGGTCTGAGGCCATGCTTCAGCTCTCATAGACTGGCATTGCACGCTGGTAGCTCTGCAAGTCTGAGGTCCCACTCCCACGGCTCCACTAGAGCTGGTACTGGTGGGGTTTTTCTGCTGCAGCTCCAACCCTGCATTTTCTCTTGGCATTGCTCTAGCAAAGGCTGTCTGTGGTGATTCTTCCTCTGTAACAGATCTCTTCCTGGGCCCCAGACTTTTCCATACATCCTTTCAAATCAGGGTGGAGGCTCCCAAGCCTCCACAGCTCTGGCATTCTGTGAGCCTGAAGACTTAACCTCGTGTGGATGCCACTAAGGCTTTTGGCTTAATATTTTCTAAAGCTGTGGGTCTAACCACACCTGGGGCCGATTTAGCCACATCTGGAGTAGTCAAAGCAGGTGGGGTGCTGGTTCTGGAAGCAGCTTCCCAAGGTGGCCCTGTGCAGTGAGCTTGAGAAGGGCACCTCAGGTCTCTTCCCCAAGACCATTCCATCTCTTTAGGCCTCTGGGCCTGTAAGAGAAGAGGCAGCCCCTGAAATGCTTTCAAGGTCTTTTTTCCTTCTCTTGGTAATCTCTTTCTTCTGTATTTATCTCCTTAGCAAAGGGTCCCTGGGCTGCACTCTTGCTTTTGTGACCAGGGTGAAAGTTTTCCAATTTTTTGCTCTCTGCTCTCTTTTGAATTACAAATTCTGGCTTTACCTTATGCCTTTTCTGCCATAATTAGCATAGGCTGTCACAAATAGCCATGCAGCTTCCTGAATGATTTGCTGCTTAGAAATTTCTTCCACCAAATACCCTGTCAGCACCTTTAAGTTCCACATTCCATAAAACTTTTGGGCATGAACAGAATGCAGCCAAGTTCCTTCCCATTTCATAGCAAGGGTCATCTTTGCCCCAGTTTCCAGTAAGTCTCTCTCATTTACATCTGATATCTTCTTAGTATGGCCTTTACTATCCCTATTTCTATGAGCATTCTGCTCACCACCATTTAACCAGTTTCTAAGAAGTTCCAAACTTTCCCTAGTTTTCTTGTCTTATACACTCTTACCTGCAACTAGGCTTTTTCTAGCTTGCTCTTTCATAGCCAGCCTTTCCTCAACACCCAGTTCCAAAGCTGCTTCCACGTTTTCAAATATTTGTTATAAGCAACACCCCACTTCTCTGGTACCAGTTTTCTGTATTAGTCCATTTCTGTTGCTTATATCATAAATACCTGGAACTGGGTGATTTGTAAGAAAATGAAATTTATTGCTTACAGTTTCTGAGGCTGGGAAGTCCAAAGTCCAGGGAACATATCTGGTGAAAGCCATCTTTGGTGGTGCAGGGTATCAAATTGCAAAAGTGGCAAAGCAGAGAGAGAGATAGCTTCTCATGTGCTCTCCTTTTAAAGTCCTCAGAACCATGCCCATGACCACCATTAAACCATCAATTTAATCACCTTTTCAAGGCCCCACCTTTCATTTACCTTAATAGGATTTCCCACCCTCAGTGGTTACAGTGGGAATTAAATTTTGGGGGGACATTCAATCCAAGGCAGCTGTGTTGAAAAGGGTGGTGGATTTTTGATCACCTTTAGTGTTGTTAATCTTATACATTCTTTTTCTTTATTAAGTCGCAATAAGTACAGCAAAAACTACTTTTATTGTTTCTCCATGCAATGCTTTTAAGCAAAGAACAGCCAGGAGGGATGGCAGTATTAATTGAAATCTGGAAACTACTGTATTTTGTAGTCATTCTTATAGGTCTTTCTGATGTCAAATCTCATCTTTCTCACTGTTATTTTTTCTCAAGGTTGAAATAACAGGATCCCAGTTACATTTTACATGGAATGTAAGTGTGTGTGTGTCTATGCACACAGTATGTGTGTGTGTATACTTGTATATGTATATATACACACAAAGGTACTTCATAAAGTTCATGGAAAAATGGAATTAATACAAATCTTTCCATGAACTTTCAAAGTACCCTTGTACATACATACATATATACATATACAGTGTGTGTATATTTTTTGATAAACATCTCTCTCAAGAACTTTCTAGTCTTCCCAATAAAGAAGACTTCACAGTGAAGAAGACTAGAAAGTTCTTGTATTAGTCCATTCCTGTTGCCTATAACAAAATAGCTGGAACTGGGTAATTTATAAGAAAATGAAATTTACTGCTTTCAGTTTCTGAGGCTGGGAAGTCCAAAGTCCATCATGGTGACAACAGTGACCCAGGGGTCTCACATTGCAAGATGGTGGAAGCAGAGAGAGAGAGAGAAAGAGACATTCCTCTTCTTTTAAAGCCCTCAGAACCACATCCCTGACTGCTATTTTTAATCCATTTACTACTACAAAGTCCGACAATCCAATCACCTCTTTGAAAGAGACATTCCTCTTCTTTTAAAGCCCTCAGAACCACTTCCCTGACTGCTATTTTTAATCCATTTACTACTACAAAGTCCGACAATCCAATCACCTCTTTAAGGCTTCACCCCTTAATTACCATAATAGAACTTCCCACCCTCTTAACAGTCACACTGGAGGCTAAGTTTCTCACACATAAACCTTGGGGGATACAATTCAACCTTTGATGAGTTTTGGGGGGACATTCAATACACTACAGTTCTTGAATGGTAGTCATTTATCAATGAATATATCTTTTAGGTAATCCATAGAATTGGGAAAGAAAGTGCAATGATAACAATATAGTTTTAATGAAATTGTTTAATTAAAGAAGTTCTTGCATGCCTGCTGTGTGTTAGGCTCTAAACTAGGAAAGGGGAAACAGTAATGAGTAGGAGATAGTCCCTCAAGGAGCTTAAAATCTAATGAGAACAATTAAATAAGTGATAATAATAACAGCTATTTAATAGAATTGTTTACATTGTACTTTTTTGTAGATTTATAATGTCAGTTACAATATTCTTTCAGCTAATTAAAAATCAATATTATTTAGTGATGGTGATTTTTCTTGATTACCTGTAATAATAATACTTTCTACTATAAAAGTGTACTTAATTGTTAGCCAGTTATGTCCAAGAAGACCAAAAATTCTGAAGTTAAACAATTTATTCACAGGTATATAATTTCACATGCTTTTCATTTTTCCCTAAGTCTTTTTAATATTATTGCTGTACTGTGCATTTTTGTTTTCTCTTTTTTAAATTAAGGTATAACGTACATACAGTGAAATGTACCAATTTTAAGTATACTACTTGATGATTTTATTTTACATACCCATACACCCCTGGAACCATACTCAGATCAAGATATATAACTTTTCTAGCACCCTTTAAGTTTCCTTCATGCCCCTTCCTAGTCTGTATCACCACCACCACCACCCCAAGAGGTTACCGTGGTACTAACTTACATCATCGTAGATTAGTTTTGCCTGTTCTTGAACATCATATAAATGGAATCATACAGTATACTCTTGTGTCTGGCTTTCTTTTTTCCTCAGCATTATGAAATTCATTCATGTTGTTGGATTTGGGTTCGGGGCTTTTTTTTTATTATTGCTATATAATATTTCATTCTTTTTATTACTATATAGTATTTCATCGTATGATGAATTTTTATTGTATGACTTCAATTTTTTATCCATTTTGCTGTTGATGGACATTTAGGTTGTTTTCATTTTTTGGCGATTATGAGTAAAACTGCTATGAACATTCTCTTACCTGTCTTTTGATGAACATGCACACTTGTTTCTTGGGCACATACCTGGGAGTAGAATTGTTGTTGGTTGATGGGTTCTTAGTGGATATACTGGCAACAGTTTTTCAGAGTGGTTATGTTAATTTGTATTCCCACTAGCAAAAGATGAGAATTCCAGTTGCTCTTCATTCTTCACAGTACTTGGTATTGTTAGGGGTGTGTGTGTGTGTGTGTGTGTGTGTGTGTTATTTTTGTTTCTAATTTTAGCCATTCGGTGGGTCTGTAATCCCATTTTCTCTTGAATACACAAAAATCAATTAATGAAATCTTTAAGTCTAATGAACTAACTCATTGATTTGCACTAGCTTTAATTCAGATATGGTATTTAGAAGTAGTTAGCTTTGTGTGAGTTCAGTGTGGCCTTTAATGTAGCCATTAAGTTTTTGAAGTGAGTGAATGAAAGTATCAGGTTCTTTACAAGCTTGCTGGATTTTGGTATCAGATTTGACCCAGTACACACCACTGATGGGGAAATAAGTTCAAGATTGGGCCAGGCTTTGTTATTTTAAGTGCTGACTTTGGGTCTTTTAGCCTTTTAGAGCTGTAGGCCCTTATCTATAAAATCAGAAAATTAAAGGCTTTTTGAGCTCTAAATTACACTCTCAACCAGTAGTGAGAAAGTGTAAGAAATTTATCTTCCTTAGGATTTCTTTTTAGCATTCACTGATTTTACCTATTGAGTTCTTTTCTTCCTGGAGTCTATTATTTGCTTTTTTTTCCTCTTCATACCAATTAAGTATAGCTCTTACTGGAAGAAAAAATACAGGAATACATAGTAGGCATTTCTCTGGTGCTAATTTAATGTACTTTAGACACTTTGGCAGTTACTTAACCATTTAAACATATAATCTACCTTTAAGGTGATCTTAGTGGTGACTGAAATGGTAGCTTGTATGTAATATAGAACTCAGAGAAAAGTGTTTTCTTGGGCAGAATAATAGTCTTATTTTTCACAGGGGTGGAGTTATTTTTTGATCAAATTATAAAATTTCAGTGAAATGCAGAGGAAATCCACTTAAAAGACTGCATTGTAATTAAAATGCCCACTTCAAATAATAATAAATTCACTTTTTTTTTTAAATAGGAAATTGAGAAGAGAAGAAGAATAGAGGAAGCATACAAAAATGCAATGACAGAACTTAAGAAAAAATCCCACTTTGGAGGACCAGATTATGAAGTATGAACTTTCATATATTTTTTTATATTTGTAAAGTAATTTCCAAGGCTACAGATGACAGAAATGTTTAAACTTTGTTTAATAATTAAAACAAGATGAATGTCTAATAACCAAAATAAAGTCATATTTTGAATGTGTCTAAAATCCATACAAGTGTAGTACTGACACAAGAAAAGATAGATGGTTCAAAACTCCAAAGGGAAGAACAACACTTTTTTTTTAAGTGTAAAAACAGACCTAGTTTATTTTAAAATTGTATTTTAATTTGAGATTAAACATCACAGGGATCTAGTAAAAAAAAAAAAAAAATCAGCAGTTCATAATTCAAGAAAGCTTATTTAATAATTTTCATTACCACCAATGCTATACTTCAAAGACACCAATAGCCAACACGTCGTTTGTTCCTACTGCAGAATTTAATAGGTTATTAACTTCTGGTGTAACCCAAAAGTATAATTAGGACACTATCATTAAAACGTGATATTGCTTTCTTTTAAAATCACAAATATGAACACCTTCCACCTTGTCGGTCAAATCAAAATTTCAAAATTCTGTGCATTTCAAATAGGTAAAGAAAGGATGTTTATTCAACAAATATGAGTGGAATAAAATATAGATTCCTACATTATACCATACTTTTAAAAATTCAACAATATGTTTAGAAGAGACCACAAAATAATTTTTAAAAAAACAGAAAATATAAATAATTCCTTGGAGAATGCATCTCTAAACATGATACCAAATGTGGAGACTTAAAATGCCGGGCATGGGGGATATAACAAGGAACCAAGCAGGCAAGGATCCTGCCTGAAGGCCTACTTGCATGTATAATGGGAAAGTAGACTGGTAAATAGGCAATTACAATAATGTATGCTATGAAGAACTTTTAACCCAGGAAGAGTGTTGAGTTATGGATGGCTTCCCAGAAGAAATAACATTTTAGCTGAAACCTTGAGAAAGAGTAGAAAGAATGTTTGCTCTTAGGGCTGAGAAGAAAGAAAATATCTGGAGGCCAGAAGCAAATAGAGAGCATTTTGCCTCAGGAGAATTGGAAATGCTTCTTCTCCTTGGAGGGCGGAGCCTCCTCAGATTGAGAGGAAGGAGTGGTAAGAGACTGGCTGGGAAGGTCAACAAGAATCAGTTAAGGTCCTGAGACCACTATGGGTTTTAAACAAGAAATTGAAGTTTTCACATTTACGGTTTGGAAAAATCATCCTTGCTTCCTTCAGTGAGACAAATAGATTGAAGGTGACAGTTGTGACTGGGGGATTGGAGACTTAAGTATTCCAGGAATGCACATGAGAATTGAGGTGGACTAAATTAAAGTAGAAGCAGGAGGAATAGAGACCTGACAAAGTAGATATTTGGAAAGTAAAATTAAAGGATATGGTGACTGAATGAGGGGAAAGGGAGAAATCCAAGATTAGATTCATGTTTCTGCAGATTAGTGTGGAGGTAGGAGAAGAGCAGGTTTTAGACATGTTGCACCTGAGTTGAGACTTTCACAGGAGGTGATCTTCATATTATTAGATATTAAGATCTAACACTTAGAAAGGAGATGGTTTGGTTTGTCTATAAATTTAAGAGTTATAGATGATGACTGAAGCCTTGGAAATGAGTAAGAATGCTGTGGGGAGACCAAGTATGGAACCCGAGTATAGACAGAAGGACGAACCTGGAAAGGAGTCCAATGCGAATGCTTAGAGAGGGAGGGGGAAAATTAGGAATCTGATAGTAGAAAACTCTCCAAAGAGTTGTTAACATAAGAAATGCTGCTCTGAGGGCAAGTGAGATAAAGACTGCGTAGTGTATAGTAGATTTAACAATAAGTAGCTTCTTCCCTTGGTAAGCATGATGAAATATAAAGGGTTTTTTTTAAGTCCTTTTTAATAAAGAACATTTTATTCCAATTTAGTTCTTATCCCACAGATTTGCAATTAAAGGAAAAGCTGTTTCATTTGGCGATGCAGAATTTTTTATTGCTATCATTCCCGATCAGTAGACTCCTAAGACTGACATTATTGCTTAAGAACCAGGAATCCATATGCACAAAAGCACTGTAGATTGAATGAATATTACTATTTTTTAAAATGTAGATGTGGTTATTATGATCAGTAGGGTTTTAAAAATCATTAGAAAATATGCTTGAGTTTGGAGTAGATTTTGGATATTTTGTGTTTTCTCTGATCAAAGAGACCAAAGTTATACTGCTGTCATTTGAGTGTCTTTGAAATGTTTTGACTTTATAAAGGGAATCCTGCAGGAGGGAGGCCTCTGGAATGTTGTTACATTAATTACCCTCATGTCCTAGCTGGTCATTAGATGGTTATATTCACTTTATGATAACTCACTGAGATGTTTACTGTTCTGTATGTGTGTTGTATTTGAATAAAAAGTTGGGTTTTGTTTTTGTTTTTTTAAGTGGGTTGTAAGAGACTGAGTCCTCATAACTCTAAAAGAAGAACTGCATTAAGTCAAGATTTCTCATATGCCTCTGCCAGATGACAAGAGCATTACACTGTAGTTCTTCCCACTCTTCCTGTGTGGTCCCAGATTATGGTGGGGACAGGATGATGTTGCTAGGTACTTTTTAGTGGACTAATGGTGACTTGGGGTTATCAATCTAAGTGGGAAGATTCCAGCCATTATTCGTGTGTCTTAAATAACCGTAAATCCAAGCCTGCCTTTTCAGCCTCTACTTTTACCATAATATGAAACTGTTGTTCCACTTACAGTCCACTTATTTGGTTCATCACAGCAGGAACATATCTTGTTTGTTTCCATTTTGTTATTGTTCTTTACTTTCATCTTCTGATACAGCTGAGTATCAGAAGGTACTCATGTGAATCACTTGGGAACTTATTAAACATGTGTATTCCTGGGCTCCCCAAGACCTACTGAAAAGTAATTCTGGGTAAGAGGGCCTAGGAATTTTAATTGTAACACATTCCACAGGCAATTCCTCAGGTGATTGATGACCATTACTCTGCTTTCTAACCAGACTTTCAAGCATCAGCCCAGCTTTTCTTTCTCCATGTCCTTACTTAGGAATATCCCCCTCCAAATTCCTATCTGCACTTCTCATTGGCTGTAGATCTGCAACTTTGTACTTACCTCTCTGCAATTTTATATGTCTCTGTCATCCCTGTCACAAGTACTCAACTCCGCCACTGTAACACAAAAGCAGCCATAGACAATACATAGATGAATGGGCATGAGTGTGTTCCAATAAAACTTTATTTATGGATACCAAAATTTTAATTTCAAATAATTCCCACATATCATGAAATGTTATCACTTTTTTTTTTTTTCCAACCATTTAAAAATGAAATTCTTAACTCACAGGCTGTAAAAATGTAGGTGGCAGGGGCTGGCTAGTTAGCTCATTTGGTTAGAGTATGGTGCTAGTAACACCAAAATCAGGGATTTGGATCCCCTAACTGGCCAGCTGCCAAAAAAAAAAAAAAAAACAAAACAAAACAATAACTAGGTCTGAGATGATGAAGATCTGAGCTACAGCAGAGACAGAACAGAGTGGTAGAGAGAGAAATATAGGGTATTGGTAAGGTGCCCACCTACCAAGGCCCCTAAGCAATACAAGAGGGAAGGGGTAAATGGCCTAGCAACAACCACCCCCTCCTGCTTCCACAGGCCCCCTATAAAGAACCCCTGCTCTAACTACTATCCTATCACAGTATTGGTCAATATATAGTAAATATATGAGTACTGAGTTCATTAGTTGTAACACTCATGTGATTTTACACAGAGTATATGTTACTCATCTTTATGATAATATTACCTAGTACACTGTTTCATAAATATGTCAATAAATATTTATTGGATCAATTTTCAACTTTTCCCTGGAGTTAATATTGGAGTTTATCAGTGTTTTCTATTTTCTTAAATCAACTGCTTTTTTTTTTCTTCTGTGTGTTTGAGTAGGAAGGCCCTAACAGTCTGATTAATGAAGAAGAGTTCTTTGATGCTGTTGAAGCTGCTCTTGACAGACAAGATAAAATAGAAGAACAGGTATATCTACTATTAAAAAGTCTAAGGTGAAATTTGCTTTAACACTGTGGGCATTCCTTGATGTATGAGGGTGCTTCAAAAAGTTCATGGAAAGATTCATGTTATCTTTTAATTCTATTTTTCCACAAACTTTTTGAAATACCCTCATATATTATTTCATAGAAGTAAAATTTGGCATAATGTCCTCCAGGCTCATCCATGTTGCTGCAAATACATTTTCGAATAGGTAGAAGAGGACTTTGAATGTTCCCAACGTAAAGAAGTGATAAATATTTGAGGTGATGGATATACTAATTACCTGGAATTGATTATTATACATTATTATAATATTATCTTATTATAATACATCAAAATATCACTCTGTACCCCGTAAATATGTAGTTATTGTCAATTAAAAATTTTTTAAAAGTAGAAGAGGACTTTGAATGTTCCCAACGTAAAGAAATGATAAATATTTGAGGTGATGGATATACTAATTACCTGGAATTGATTATTATACATTATTATAATATTATCTTATTATAATACATGTATCAAAATATCACTCTGTACCCCGTAAATATGTAGTTATTGTCAATTAAAAATTTTTTAAAAATAGAATTTGAAAACTGTGAACTTAATAACCTAGAAAATTAACTGTCTACCTTTTGTCACAAATGTAGAATCTTTATATGTCAGGTTCTTTACATATCAATTTGCAAGCGATAGAAAGAAGACCAATAATTGTTTAAAGGAAGTATGCATAATTAACATGAACTTAAATGAAAATATTCTGCCTATTCCCCTTGAGTATCCAACATTAATCATTCTCTTAATATCAAGCATATTTTTACTCTGAGTAAAAAGTCTCTTTGGATTTCTCTTCTCCAAGTATCATGAATTCAAAAGGAAGATGACCAAAAATTTAAGATTGTTTTTCCTCTGCATTAGTACCATTTCATTTTTACCTTCTTTATTGCCATCACTACCTTCACCTTCAGTTTCTTCCTCACTTTTACTTTACTCTGTTTTGTCATCATTACTGAATTCACAGCAGTTATACCTAGTTCCTTCTGTGGAAACTGAAAGAAAGCATTTCTTAAATCCTTTAACTCTAGTTTAAAGATTAATTTGATCCTTCGCCACCTTAAATTCTGCAGCAATGCAGTTACTATATTTTACCACTAGGTGGTACTCAAGGATGGATTTTAGTTATTTCCTCCTTCACCACCCTTTAAGCTTTAAGCTTTGCTACTTATGTTGGAAACTTAACTTTCTTTTTGAGCAAGTATGATTAAGCTGTGGCTATAAAATATCTTACAAATAATCATATATGTATTAATTTTATACTCCAAATGAACTTGCATAAAAAAGTTGGCTTGTTCATTCCCTGTCATTGCTAAGGCAGTTTCTCTTTTTATTTTTCATCGTTTTTTAAAAAAATCAGGGATGAAAATATCATGTCACTTTAATTTGTAAAACGTATTGCTCATTTTTGATATATGAAAGATGCTATGCAGCACTCAATGAAAGTGGGAACTTTCGGTTCCTAAATGGGCTCTACTTTTAGAAGCTTGAAATAGTAACTGAAGTAGCATCATTTCTTTGTTTTCCTTCACTTCAGTTTTTGTCTAGGATATGCTGTTTTGGATAAAGCAGTGAACTCTGTGATCAAGACACTTTAGTCTTATTAGTTTTGCCACTAATTAACTTTGTAGCTATGAATTTATTTTAATTCTCTGGGCCTTGGTTTTCTAATCTGTGAAACAAGGCGTTTAGATAAGATGATTTAAAACATCCCTCTGGCTCTAAAATGCTGCTCTAGTGGATATTAATAATGGTTGAGTAGTGTTTGAGAAAATCTGTGAAACCTTCTATAAGCTTTAGAAAATGAAGTTCATGAAGCTATCAAATAATTTGATTTCAATCTATCCTTGGTGCTCTGATAGGTTCTCTGCAAAAGAGTCATTGAACAGACAATGATTTTCCTTGCCTGATAGCCAGGCATGTTGACATAACAAAGATAATTACAGTGTGGTAGTACTGAAGCTTCAGTATCCATGAAATCAGTTCCATAAATTCAGATCACTTCCCTCTTTGTACTCAGTATATATTGTACAGAACTCTCAACAACACAGCTACTACGTAGGTATTCTCCAAGTGACACTTACATCACTCATTTTTGAGTTTACATTATTTACAAACATAGGGAAAGATGTGCAACAAATTGGTGAGTGAGTGAGAAATGAGATCTTAGTAATTCTATACATACAGCATTGAATTGAAATTAATAGCTCTCCTGTACAGTTAGAAGATGAACACACAACATAGCATAGCTCTTGCTACGTTATTTTTAGTAAATATTTGTTGAGTGAGGAGAAACTAAGGAAGCTAAAGAGTAGGAAGAAGATCAAGTGAAGCTTAACAAGTAAAATGATGAGATGAAGGCAGAATACCTTCAGGGAAAGGAGGCAGAGATATACAGTATGTTCTTAGGCACGTAACTGAAGCAAACAATGGTATTGGTTCCAAGGATAGCCTATGGGCCAGCCCGACAGGGCCCTGATGAGGTAAAATGATTGGAATGATTTGGCTAGGGTTTGAATGATACAAAATTGGTAGCATCAGTGTTAAGATTGACTCGTGATAAACGATGCTATGCAGATAGTGGAGAGTCTGACCGGGAGCAAAATCAAACAACTTATCCCTGGTCTAATGTAGTAGTAGTAGAGTCAAAAAGAAGAAATTGAATTGGGATACCTAAGTGACAGGATTTGACAAGGCTTGTATTTGTAGAGCAGTTTTATAATTTAAATATTTATAATAAAGTGTACACTAATTAAATGTTGGTAGTTTTAGGTTATATTAACCATTCTTAAGCTGCACAATACACTTTAAAGCCTTCTCACCTTACCGTTATGTTTTTTAGTCACAGAGTGAAAAGGTCAGGTTACATTGGCCTACATCCTTGCCATCTGGAGATGCCTTTTCTTCTGTGGGGACTCATAGATTTGTCCAAAAGGTAAGCTAATGTCAGAGTTTACTGAAAGTATAACTTGTATCATTCTTCTGTGTTGATGGAGCTATCTTGTAGTATAAGTTTTCTCTCCTTTTCATCATGAATTTAAGCAATGAGTTTTTTTGTATTATATGTTATATTCCATATATGTCTTCCAAAACAGTTAGAAATCTTATTCTGAGCATAATATTCTTTCTTTTTTATTTAAGGGAAGAAAGGGGGGTGGTTGGTTAGGGAGTAGCTAGTCCAAAGTAGTTAACCAGAAGTGTAGCTAATTATATCAAAAACGTTTTTCTTCTTTGGGGTTAAGTGGTATTATTTTGTATTATTGGAAGTCTACATTCTTTTTGGAGTGATTTTGGAACATAATACATAATAGGTGCATGAAGTCAGCACTTGCTGCTATGCTTGTTTCATATAGTGCTTTGTTTTCTCTTTCTTTATCTTGTGTTTGGAAGTTGGTACTGAATGCTCTGTTGTGCCTTTGTTCTGATTACTTGGTTTTTTCTTTGTCTGTCTCTGGTAGCCCTATAGTCGCTCTTCCTCCATGTCTTCCATTGATCTAGTCAGTGCCTCTGACGATGTTCACAGATTCAGCTCCCAGGTACTGTATGAATGTGTAGAGTGGACTTGAGTCTTTCTGTGCTATATTTCAGCCTGCTTTCCCAGTTCCTAAAAATCTTTTGGTTAAGCCACTTGTTTTGGTTTTGAATTTAAATGTAACAATAAGCATTAAAAAGGCCTTATCTACTAAATAGTTCCTCTATCAGGCTTGCATGTGCCCTTTACTTTTTATCTTCTACCTTGAAGAGTTTGGAATTTTGTCATATAGAAAGTACTCCAGAAAGATTTCCAAATTGAATTGAAACAAATAGAAGTTCTGTTTTTTATATATCATGTCATAATCATATCTGTTTCTTCAGACAGGATTCAACAGCTTTTGATGTACATGGTCTATAGGATTTGTTATAACATAAAAGCAGGTTCCAAGAGTCTCACTTTTAATCTAATTTAAAATATCTCCTAATTATATTCATTAAGGAAATAATGTTTTTTTGTTTGTTTTTATTTTTTGTAGCTGGCCAGTAGGGGGATCTGAACCCCTTGACCTTTGGGTTATCAAGGAAATCACTTTTTAAATAATATTTTTTCATTACCATTATAATACCAAGCTCCATTGAGTAGGTTGTATTTTCCTCATGCAATTATCCTTGGATATTATAAATTAATATTTCTGTTCATATGCTAAATCTGTTGAAATTGGCTTTAAGTTTATTAAACATCTCTAAGGGTTTAGGAAATTAAGACAAAGCTGGATGCTTGTAGTCTCTATCCTCAAAATAAAATCAAATTACCGTTGGAGGAATATTTTTTTAGTGTCAGCATTAGTTTAAAAAAATTTTTTTTAATCTCACATCTTTGCCATTCAACTTTTTGTCTTTATGGTGATTGCATTTTATCGGATTGCATTATGTTATGTTATCCTATGTTAAGAACCTGAGCTCTTCTTTTCTCAGAATGACAGTTTAAATCCTGATTAGCTGCGTGTTGTTAGGCAAGTTTTCTAACTTTTCTGTGCTTTGCTTTTGTGATTTAGCTAGAGCCTGGCACATAGTAAGCACTCAACAAGTGTGAACTTTTACTGCCATTATAATAACATAATTTCTTTGAACTCATCAAAGTTATCTACGTCATTATTTTTTCCCTATAACAGTATTCTAATAAAAGTTTTTTTAAATCATAGTTTAAAACATTTATATTATTTAATATATACAAATAAAATTTACATTTGTTTTTAGCTGTACAATAGAGAAGAAAATTAACTCGAAAGATGTTTTTCTGACTTGTAGCTTTTTTCCTTGAACATTTTTGAGAAAAAGATTTAGCATTTCTTGATCAGAAATAATCCGTAATCAAACATACTGTAGTATTTGTTATCTTTTGCTCATCCATTTATGCTTGCCTTTTAAAAAGTGACTCATTATATTCACAAAAAATCAGTGACAAAACTAGATAATACTAGGAGACTTTGGTATATACTACTAAGTGCCACTTTGCATTAAAATAATAAAGTCATAGACTAAAATCCATCCATACTGGTCACCATTTTCCCTTGAAATGTAGTAATACATAAACTATAAATGAAAGAAAATGTAATGAGAGCAAGGAAAGAATGTAAGCCAGTTATGAAGAATGCCTGAGAATTAGAGCTTCAGAACCCAAACCTAGGCTCAAGCTATAGAGTTATATATAGAACAGCTAAAAAGCCTTTAAATTCAGATGACTGTATAACTGAGGAGCAGGTGCCCATATTTTTATAAGATACTGCTGAATTGTAGCTTGCTTCTTTTCATAACTTTTTGTGTAACTCATGTAAGTTGAGAGAAATTAATCTTGCTGGTAGATTTTTTTCTATTAAATGGTGCTCATGATTAATCTGATACTCTTTTAGCTTTTGATTATTGAACTGTTTTGTATGCCAAAGAGATAAAAAATGAAGAAAATAACATTGAATTCTTCAGGTATTTATTGTCCTTGATAAAGCATTTGTTACCAATAGCAGACTTGGGCTCTGGCAATTAACTGTTGATTAAACTGTGCACCTCATATTCAGCAGCACCTTTAGAATAGGTAACTGATTCCAGGTTGATAAGATTGCTTGTTTCAGAGGATATTGAACTGCCTCAACACAATGTGAAATTACACCAGTGACTAAATTGATTTTGGTACATTTTATAGTTCTTACATTCTGAAAAGACTTACGTATTAAGCAAAATAAGAAGCTCTAAGGATATTCATTAATATTAGAAACACTTATGTTACCTTATATTGTTATACTATACATAATAATACAGTAATGTACAGTAGTAACTCCACATCATTCCTTAATATATTTGAGGTAGCCAAATTCTTCATTTTAAAATATCTTGATAATTAATTTAAAAACTAAGTCAAAGTTTTTCATCACTTTTAATAATTTGCCAAAATATTATCAAAGCATAATACCACATTAATTTCATATTTACCTTAACACCTTTTAAAAGTCCAGATATATATACAGATATCATACTTAGTTTCTTAGTAAGTTTTATGAGTTTTCATATAGAAGCCTTCTATGATAATTTTAATTTTTCTTTGCCATCTACATAAGTGTCGACTCATGACTATCTTGTTCTTGTTAATGATGTGCATAGTCTTGATTGGGTAGGATAATAAAACATAAAACTGAGAGTTGCGCTGAAAATAGCTTCAAATAAAATATGTGAATCTTCTAGGAAATTAGTACCAACACATGAATCTGTCTGAAGGGCAGATATTAGGAATGAAGTTGCTCCAAATTGAGAAATTAGAGTTACAAAGGACTTCAGGTTTTTAAAATAGTGGCTGTAGCTACAAACTAGAAAAATTTTAGGTGTGCAGATTATAAAAAGGACTTGGATTTATAAATGGATGTTTTTGGTCATGTTTATTTGCATAACACAGTTACCATTTAAAGATGTCACCTCAGAAATCAAAGGGGGAAAAAATCATTCTTTATTGAAAAAGAAGTCAAAGGATGTGCAGTACGTCTGCAGGTTAATCTATGGTGAGCATCATTGCAAAAAACAATTCTGTATAAAATTCTTTCCCACTATATGCTCATAGTAACACATTATTATGTAATTATTTCACCCCTTCCTTCTTTATTGTAGTACATTCTAATTTCAGCAAAAGTAGGAAGTAAAATTTTAAAAGTAGATTACTATTAATATTTTTGTGTTTATCTTTTATATAAACATATATACTCACACACAAGATATATATGTGTGTACATACATATATATTTATGAGGTATCTTGAAAAAGTTCATAGAAAGATTTGTATTATCTTTTAATTTCGTTTTCCCACGAATTTGTTGAAACACCCGTGTGTGTGTATGTGTATAAAAATCAGATGCATATTGATAAATACACACACCTTGATAATTGTCTTTTTTTCTACCATAGTAGGTGATTTTATATAAATTGTTTTATAAACTTTTTTTTTTAACTTATATTTAGGCTCATTTTCCCATCAGTAAATATAGGTCTATATCTCTTTATTTATGGATATGCTTGTCGGATTTACATACTCAACTAATACTGAACATTTAGTTTATTTTCAGTTTTTCTGTATTATAGATAGTGCTATGGTGAGCATTCTTATACTTACAGTATCCTTATATAAACATCTTTGCACCCGTATCCAATTGTTTGCTTAGAATATATTCCTAGAAGTGGAATTGTAGGGACAAAGGTTATGACCATTTCTAAGCTTTTTTACTCATATTGACAAACTGTTCATTAGAAAAGTTAAATCAGATTACACTCCCAGTCCAATTTTCTTTTGCTATACTGACACTGAAAATTATAATTCAGTTAATATTTTCCAGTCTGATAGACTAAAAGTGGTATTTTGCTTTTTGGTTATCTGCATTTCTACAGTGAATTAAACTATTCATGTCCTTGGCCATTTTTCTTTTGGGTTAACAGTGCATTATTAATTTGTTATTAATAAATTATTCTGTTCAACAAGCCCCTCTATGGATTTGTGACTGTATAACAATAAGCATAGTTGTATTCCTTTTCACATAGGTAAGAGAGAGAAGTCTGAGCTATGTCTGAACACTCCTAGACTCTTGTTGTACCATCAAACGGCAATTTTCTTTTAAAATTTCTGTTAGTAGTATTAGAAAAATCCAATTTGGTAGCCTCCTAAAATGGTATCATACTGAATGATTCAAATGTGATATGGAAGAAAAGGTTAGAAGTAGAGTGATGTCCCCTCTTAAGTCAAATGTGTTGTATCTCCTTTTTTTCCATGGTATATTGGTATAAAGTTCATTGGTGTATAAAGGTACTGCATGTGTCAGCTCATCACTTTCAACTCTAGGTCCAGAAAAATCAAGGGCATGATTCCTGAAATTATGCTTAGCCTGGTTAAAACTTGCAACCACTAATCACCTGCTTCAATGATTTTGAAACATTTTTTTTTTTTAGTAATAGCAGGTGTTACTAATCACATTATTTCCTAAATTTCACGTTTTGAGCCTGACAAAATTTTAAAATTTGGTTCGTGTTTGTTCTTGTCTTCAAACATAATGGTCTCTTGTCTCCCATATCTTTTTGATGTGTAGAGTCATAACTGAAAGTAAACTGAGCAGAACCTTATCTGAAGCATCAATGTGGTCACAAGTACCCTCAACACTGCTCCTAGCAATATTGGCTACTTCATATTTTATTGCCATGAACATAAAATTAATTATAGTGAGATTTTACCTGTATCACCTCTCTTCTTAACTTTACTTATTACTTCAAGGAAAATCCCCTGATGAATGATGAAAGCTTTGCAGAGGTTACTACAGTAATTAAGTACTTTATAGTTTCTTTAATTTCCTAGGAGTACAGTACTGAATACCTCTTTTTTTTTGTTGGACTTTTTCAAGCCCTCTTAAGTCAAGGAAATAAATAAGAACCAAGACTTTGAAACTTTTTCTATAGATACAGGGGTAACTTACAGGAATATCTTTTTTTTTTTTTTTATCTTTCTAGAAAGACAATCTTAAATGTGCTTTCTGTATGTTGTTAAACTTGTGCTTTCTCCTACCAGTTTATATTTGTGGAATCTGGTTTCTTTTAGACCAAAACACGAATCAAAAATACATCATCTCTCAAACATTTGAAATACCTAATTATGGAATATTCTCACAAACAAAAACACAGTTACCTGCATACTTTCTGACCAAAGAGCTAAGTGGCACTAAATATTTTTTAAGCCAAACTCTTATGTTTTCTAACAGAATAAAATCCTTCTGTTCTTTACATACTTCCTTTGCAGACAACCCATTTAAAGTAGGGTTTATTTCTGGGAAGCATTTCTTTCTGCCTCTAGTCTCATAATACAGGCATTCTTAACTCCTAGTTCCCCACCTACAAAGTACATATTTAAATCGATAGATTTTTAAGATCTTGGTATCTAAAGAGGATAAAAATTTCTCCCAGTCACAATGTAACATAGACAAATGAATCAAGCCAGTGCTACTGTGGTTCTTTTATTTATACATACTAACTGGAACTTTTCTTGTTCTTCCTCTTTTGGAAATCATTGACATTTTGTGTGTATTTGTAACCTGGAGTCCTGCATTAGTCACCTTTATCCTCTCAAAGCAGATTTCAAAATTATAAAGGCATGTCGGTTTCTCCTGGCAGCACCTGTAATTATGTTTTCTCATTAAGGCTTTGGAAAATTATAGAATGTACTTTTAGTTAAATTTTAAAATTTCTGTCAAATATGTAACCTAACATCACTCACATTATTTTGAGAATTATGAATAAAGGAATAAATATTATATTAGTGTTTATTTAGTACTAATAAAGATTGTAGAATCTCAGCATTAACATTTTTATCCAAAACTTTTTAGTGATGATTGCCAAATCAAGAGACACTTAAAGCCATACTTACTTTCAGTAACAAAGAATGCATTCTAAGATCCAGAAAACTTGATGTAGCAGAAGTACACATCACTATAACATATTGATGCCATCCTTCAGTATAGAAAAATTATATTCCCAGGGCTAATAATCTTAAGAGTTTCTGCCTTCAACCCATTAATGTATTAATTTCAAAATACATTTAAACCCAATTCCTTATTCTGTATTCCTAATGGAATGTGATTGTCTTTATTTAAAATAAGTAGTTTAAGTTAGGAATAAATTTTTAAGTGGAAGTATAATATACATATTTTCCAACTCTTTTATGCCTTCTCCAATGTATTTATTATATGAAACAAAATTATTTTGTTTCCACAATCTTTTTATCACTTCAGTTCTGTGTAAAAACATATTTCAAATATATTAATATAAAAATAAAAATACATTTCAAACTGGGAGACTTTGCAAAAACACTTGCATGAAATCTTATCAATCAATCTGATTGAATATTCTGGGAGTGTGACATATTCAGCACTTTTTGCTTAATTATATAAGATGTATAAGGATCATTGTGATAGTTAAAAGCAGAATTTACATTTAAATTTGAGTAAAAGAAATTGAGTTAAAAATTTAGAAAGAATGGATGAATTAAAAGGTGAATTATGTGTAAATGCTTGCATATATGAGTATTAGCATTGTCCCTCAAAGGAAATAGAACAATGAAATTGGAATCAAATAAATGGGATGTTGGTTATTTTAAAGGAGGTTTATATTAACGATAAAGAGAGATTTATCAGTGAAATAAGGAATGTTTTGTGACCTTTTTGTAGGGAAATCTTTGACATATGAGTTCTTTGATATCTCTACAAGTCTTAAATATAGGAACAATGTACTAGGTATCTCTTTATGCCCCTTTTACCCTTTGTAGTTCATGATTTTATGCATTAAGACATCGTCTCTGTATTTTATGGTAAAGGACAGCATATTTCTTTTTTCCAGAAAATGCTTGTTTTGGTCACTTGTTGCACATTAGGCCAATCTGTGTTACTTGAGTGAGGTATCTTTCTTGCATTTCTCCCTTCTGTTATTAACCTGGATATCCGGAATGTGGACTAAACTCTTCAACACTATAAAACACCTACTAACCTTTGTGCGTTTGGTTGCTCAGCTTCCTAAGAGCACCATTCTGAACTGAAGTAAACTGAATATTATTCTGTTACAGAGATTATGACATAGCTGTTGGATATGGATTCTCATGGCTTTATTTTTCTTTTCAAGGTTGAAGAGATGGTGCAGAACCACATGACTTATTCATTACAGGATGTAGGTGGAGATGCCAATTGGCAGTTGGTTGTAGAAGAAGGAGAAATGAAGGTAATTCCCACTGAAATGTTATAGGTTACTAAGTGCAGTTCTATTTCAGGCATGCTGTTGTATGAACAAGGAGAGCATTTTCAAATTACTTTAAAACTAATTATTATATATGATCAAAGAAGTAGCAGGTATAAATGTCCTTCTGCTTCCCCAGTTTTGCTTTTACTAATTTTTTTTGTGATCATAATATAAATCTATCACTAAACCATTCTGTTTTGTGTAGGCCATGGAGAAAATAAAATTTGGTGGATTAGATATGAATAGGTCACAATTAACTGATGGTCCTCTATTTAGGTGTTTTGTTGTTGTTGTTGTTTTTAATATACTGAATGTTGTGCCCAGATGTCACTTTATTTCTTTCCCTCTTTGGTCTATACCTCCCTTCTTGCTGTTTCTCTTACTGTACCTTTTTTTGATGCTTGGACATTGGTCAGCTAATCTTGTTCACATCCCTAAACAGAAGAGACAGAGAATAAGAGCAAGGAATAGGAAATGCAGAGATGGATTGAAAAGCAGTAGCAGCAGCAGCACTGAATTTTGGATTACCTATTGCCCAAGGCACTATGCTAGAGATACAGAGATTTTAATAAGACTCTCTCCAAGCTAAAGCTTTAGTTGAGGAAGGAGGATATTGACGTTTAAAAGACACTAATACTTGGCTCCATCTGATAATGTATTGAATGAAGAATACAGATAAATAGTGGAGAAAATTAGAAAAGAAAGAGAGCTCTGTGGTTTGAAACAATTCACCCCACAATGAGGGGAAGCATTTGAACTATATCTGGAAATGGAAACAAGGTTGTGATAAAGGAGTGAGGTTAGAGCATTTTAGATAGGAAAAAAAAAAAAAATAGGAGCAAAAACTTGAAAGCAAATTTCTTATTCAGGATTTTTGCATAGACTATGTTGGCCAGAATAATTCTAGCAAATGAGAAACAATATTAGATGCTGTGATTTCTTCTCCTCTTGAATAGGGAGCAAATTAAGAAATAAGAGGAGACAGACAAATGAGATACCAAAATTAAGCTACAATTCTCATAAGCTGATTGGAGAGAATGGCTTTAGATCAGCTGCCACAGGGTCTTGCTAATATATTACCCCAGAATTAAACATAATGTTTCTGACATAACTAGATAATTCCAGGACCTCCCAACAGGAGCAGCCTCCAAAAGCAGACCGAGATGCATGCTGTCTGCAGAAGAAGGGGCTGAGCCAAGCCTGCCTTGTTCCTCCTCCTGTACTCAACATTCAGATAAGTCATTTTTCTCCCTAGAGAGGAGAAAAGTGAAGGAGTGAAGAGAAGCTAGGAGCGATAGTCTAGATGAAGTCCTACCACCTAGAATGAGGAATACAGAGTAAATGCCCCTAAGGCCCACAACATTAGAGAGAAATTGGGGCTACGTTATGGGTAGCATAAAGTAACCCACTAAGGAGAATAGACAATAGACTATGCAAAGTGTCATTTTAGGAACATTAAGCTGATTGGGAAGAAACTGGAGACCAGGAAAACCACTTAAGAGAGTCTCACGCAGGGTGATGAAAGCCTACCTAGAACAGATAAGCAACAGTAGAAAAGTCAAGCTGTTGGGTGTCCTAGAAAAGATTAGTAATAAGCTTAATAGCTGGTGAACTACGAGGGGAGGAATCAAAAGTCTAGTTTCCAGTTTGGGAAAAAGGTGGTTTCAGTAATGTGAATAAATAAGCATAAAGAGGAAGGTACTGTGGCAAGAGAGATTAAATGAGAAACTAGGTAAAATGCCTAACACCTTGTGGCCACATAGGCACTCCATAAATTGAGAGCTGGTTTGCCCCATGGTAACGTGTTACTTCATTTCTCAAAAGAAATTCTCACAGAGTTCTCTAAAGTAGCAAACTCTATAATTTTGAGATAATTAATTTTGCTCAGCACTTAAGATGTATAATCTCAGTATTTAAAACAAGGCAGAGCTGTATAATCTTTTTTTACAGTCATTTATTACATTTCATTATTTCATTTATTACAGTCATTTATTATATATGCATGTTTTCCATAATTGAAGTTTACCTTGGATTTGTAGTTTTAATTATTTTCATGTTGTCTGTGTTAATGATTTGAAATTTTTTATTTCTTTTAGCAGACTATGTTCTATAAATAGATATTTATAAATAAAAATCTAAAAGGCAGCTAAATTTAAAATCATGCTTTCAAGTTTGTACTTTAGGGGTTTGGTTTTGAATTTTCAAACAGTTTTTTAAATATGTCCTTTTTAGGTATACAGGAGAGAAGTAGAAGAAAATGGGATCGTTCTGGATCCTTTGAAAGCTACCCATGCAGTTAAGGGTGTTACAGGACATGAGGTCTGCAATTACTTTTGGAACGTTGATGTTCGCAATGACTGGGAAAGTAAGCTATTATTAATATACTTTAATCTAATTATTATTTTAGAAAACCAACCTGATTTTCTACCTCTGATCTATAGTTTATAAAGTCAGTGTAAAAAATATCTGGGGAATCATATAGAGCTTTTCACTGTACAACATCCTTCCCAACTCATATGTCAATTGATCTAGTACCTCAGTAACTGTGCATGATAGGGAGGTATTATTATTTCTCATTTTACATACAAAGGAAAGTTCAGATAGGTCAAGTGACTTTTCAAAAGCCACAGAGCTAATTAGTGGAAAAGCCAGGACTGAAGTTGAAGGTTTCTGTTTTATCATCTACTTCTTCTTAAACTGTTTTGTTTCCATGGTAAATCCTAGATGAGTCCTGCTGTGGTTAGTTTAGAGTATTCCTAAGTGTGTGTGTGTTTTCATTTGACACAAAATCTCATAAAATACATGTACTTCTGAACATCATAAGATGTTTATTGCTGGAAGTTTGACATTCTTCAGAGTATTCCTAAGTGTGTGTGTGTTTTCATTTGACACAAAATTTCATAAAATACATGTACTTCTGAACATCATAAGATGTTTATTGCTGGAAGTTTGACATTCTTTTTTCACCCAAACCTAGGAGAAGTTTATTTAACTTTTTAATAAATCAGGGAACAGAGAAGGGGTTATAGTGTTAGGAAATTATTTGAGCCTGAGTAATGCAGTAGTGGTTAGAATTGCTTTCTTGCTGTGAAAGGTAGATATTGGGCCAAAAAAAATCAGACCTCCTGGTGATCAGACCTCATAGCCACCATATATATTATAGCCTTTATACTAAGTATTAACTACCCTCCATTCTGATGTAATCTAAACAGGGCAGAATCCTGTTCATTTTACCATAATATTCATTTATAATTGACTTTCAACAAAAGTGAATTGATTACATTCTAGGAAAAAGTAATATATCTTTCTGGCTACTAATATTATTCTCTTCATTTCAGCAACTATAGAAAACTTTCATGTGGTGGAAACATTAGCTGATAATGCAATCATCATTTATCAAACACACAAGGTAAAGATCTCTTCATCCATCCTGAAAAGATTCCAATGTAGTTCAAACTCAGACATATAAATCTCTAAAGTAAAATTTGGCAGGAAATTAAATGCCATGAAAGATCCAAAAACTCCCCATACAGGCCTAAGGAGAAAAAAAAGATCCAAAGATTTTATTAATAATTCATGAATGTTGTATATTTGAAAGGTATCTCAGCTTATTTAGAGAAGAAATGTGTGCAGGCAAGAATCTGAGAAATATCATCTAGAAACAGTATTGAATGAAGATCTATAGTTGGTTTCTCTTTACCCACATATATATTTTTTTATTTTATCATTATACAGTGTAGTTGATTTTCATGCCCCTTTATCAATTACCCACATATTAAGTCTTATCTGAGATACTGAAACACATTTTAATAATTTTCCAGCATCTAATCTCTGTAGGAGAATGATGTTACCAAATACGAAAATGAATTATCGTTTCCTGTGACAACAATGATAAGCATATGAAATGTATGGTATTAATAAGACTATTAGGTGTGATCTAAGTGGATTATCTGAAAGCAAGGAAAACTTGCTGAGCGTGACTGAGTGGTTTGGTCATACACCAGAGCACACAGGAGCATTGTAAATTTATCCCCTTTCACATCATTTCTCCTTCTGCTATTTTTGATATTTAAAAATTGTAGAATTAATATTTCTTTTGCCTTACCCCTTCTGAAAATTGCCAAGTAATATATTGTATGTAGAAAAATAAAAGAAATTAGAATTTTGGAGAGATCCACCAAAAACAATATTGTATGTTATGTAAGAAATATAATGATTTAGTACTTTATTTTTCCAATTCAGTGGGTACTTCACTTTTATCTTTTTTTTTTTTTTTTTTTCTTTTTTTTTTTTATGTGGGATCCGAACCCTCAGCGGGAGCGCCGCCACACTTCCCAAGCGGCGCACTGTAGCAGTGCGCCACCGGGCCGGCCCCACTTTTATCTTTTTTAAATGATTTTTTAATTGAGTTGAATATGTGAAAATATTTGAGGTTTGTTATGTATTTTTTGAGCTCAGCCTTGTCATCTGAGACATGTCTAATCATGAGCTGTGCTTCGTTTTACATGTTAGCTGCTCAAGAAATGTGTAACAATGTAGATTCTGTTTCAGCACAGATTTTGAGGTCTGATATGAAATCTAAAATTTAGTAAATGTTGGGCCGGCCCGGTGGCGCACTGCTACAGTGCACCGCTTGGGATCGCAGCAGCGCTCCCGCCGAGGGTTCGGATCCCACATACAGACCGGTTCCCACTCACTGGCTGAGCGAGGTGCGGGCGCAACACCAAGGGTTGCGATCCCGTTTGCCGTTCCCGGTCCAGTACGGGCGCGACACTGAGGGTTGCGATCCGTTGCCGGTCACGAAAAAAGACAAAAAGGAAAAAATAAATAAATAAAATAAAATAAAATTTAGTAAATGTTAAAATACCAGTTATTTGCCCTATAATTTGGAATGAAGATAAATGACCCATAGTTTAGAATCAGAAGAACCTTATTATCTGAAGATGATTGATCCTGGAAAACAATCTGCTGAAGGTATTCCACTTGATAAATAGCAGATGGAAGAGAGGTTCATATAGTTTGTATTAGAATTAAAAAATAAAACTAAAAATTATTAAAATATCTTATATGTAACAAAATTTAAGTTACAGTTATAATTATTGGCCAATTCTTGGAATAAACAAATTGTCCTGGTATAATTTTTTTTTTAACTTAATTGAATGACACTAAATAGTATCTTTCCCTTTAAATTTGACTTCTTTTATAACATAGTCTGTATTAATCCGTTTCTGTTGCTTATAACAAAATACCTGGAACTGGATGATTTATAAGAAAACAAAATTTATTGCTTATAGTTTCTGAGGCTGGGAAGTCCAAAGTCCAGGGGACACATCTGGTGAGAGACTTGGTGGTGGCAACAATAGATAACAGAGTATCACATTGCAAAATGGTGGAGCAGAGAGAACAGAAAGTAATGTCCTCATTCACTCTTCTTTTAAAGTCTTCTGAACCACGCCCCTGACCACCATTATCAGTGTGTTCACTATGGCGTGGTCCTATAATCTAATCACCTTTTCAAGGTTCCATCTTTCAGTTAGCATAATAGGACTTCTCAACCCTCTTAAGTTCTAACTTCCACAGAGTCCTAGGGCGTGGACACAATGCAGCCAAGTTCCTTGCCAGTTCACAGCAAGGTTGATCTTTGCCCCAATTTCCAAAAAGCTCCTTCTCATTTCTATCCGAGGCCTTCTCAGAATGGCCTTTACAGTCCATATTTCTTGTAGGCAGCATATAGTTGGGTCCTCCTTTCTAATCCAGTCAGCCAATCTGTGTCTTTTGATTGGGGAATTTAAACCTTTTACATTGAGAGTTGTTATTGAAAGGTGTTGATTTATTCCTAGCATTTTATTGATTGTTTGGTTGTCTT